GGAAGAAATTTCTATTAACCCTGGAGGTTTACATCAAATGTTTGTACAATATTCCAATGTTTCACTACCTGGACGTGGTACGTGACACAACCTTGACCAGTCTCTATGAAATCACGTCACAAAAACCTTCACGCATTCCCTAGAAAAGCGTAAAATTGCACATGTTCTGTGGCAGCCCATGCTGGAATGTTTTTATCATGCCCTCTGTTTACCTATGCTGACTGAAGTCAGTTATAACAGCAGCTTGAGAGTCAGAATAACAAAAGTCTGACAGCGTAAAAGATTACAGAGGACTCTGGCCACCAGCCCACTGATGCTATCATTACGTTTATTTGTTCTAGGTTGAGATAATACTGTTTTCAGGGATTTTTTTTTTTCTGTTTACAATTTCAGATCAAAGTGAAAGGATCATCAGGTGACAGTCTAACTTTCATCTGCTAGCAAATGAGCTTCCTCGGTTCAGAACATGCTATACCTTTATTAAAAACCCTCCAAAACTCTCTTGGGTAAACATAGGAGTGCAGTAAGTGTCGATTCACAATGCAAGAGCTGCAGGACAAGAAAATGTATCCTTAACCAAAATGTGCACCACATACACATGCACATTCTTCCCCTTTACAGCTGAATTGTGCAAACACGGATTCTCCGAGAGCTTCAGTGCCCTCCCTGGTACGGCTAAATACAACCATTGCTTGCAATGAGCCTTCATGATGTAACCCAGCACATCAAACAAGAGTGGTTTTTGTTCTCTTAACTAAGAAAATATAATTCTAAGGCGTACGTGGCACTTACAGACTAAAAGATTCTAACCCAGTGTAACTGAAACAGTGACTTCTGTCTGTGTTTGCAAAAAGTAACTCTGCATGTTGTGACCTTGGGACTCACATCCCTCGAACCAACAAAGTATCCCAGCACTTCATATTCTTTCATGGTCGTTGTTCTCACAATTCCCTTGTGAGACAGAGGTCTGCTTTCCATCTTAACCCATCTTCATCTGAATCACACAAAAAAGTCAGTGGCTTTGTTAGGAACCGAGTGATCTTCACCGTCCCAACTCAATGTTTTATTCAGCAGATAAGGCTTCGTCCTATATTTGCTGCTCAAAGTCAGCAAAAACATCATACCACTGTGAAACTCAGTAACACTCTGTTTCATTGTTCAAAGCATGCAGAGAGAAGGAAAACCATGTTATGAAGACTAGCTGTGAACAGCCAGGGAGAATATTATTAGTTACCCTTAGCTCTGTATCCAGGGAAATACCCTACCAAGCCCAGAGCCTCAGTCTCCCTCAGCATCATGACGCCAACACCAAGCGGGCTGGCAGGGCAGACAAGCCCTCAAAAGAAGAACACTAAGAAAAAAACCTGGGAGATGGCTAGCAGGCGCCTTTGGACGACAGTCGAGGGACAAATGACCGCCAGCTGTTCAGAAAGGGCCTATGATCATATATTGAATATATATGGAATAGCAGCACAATCTGCTGGGAGCAACATTTCAGTCCTGGGAAAGCTTATCTTGTGGAGGAACCTGGAACAGCCTCACCCCCTTCTTCTCCATCCAGCAGAAATGTTAGGAATAGTGTAAAGTAAAGCTATCGGGATAGACTGCCAATGCAAACACAACACGCCGTATTAAAATCAAAATATAAAGTCTCTACTTTATCCCGTTCATTAATGGTATGATTTCAGTGACGTAGTCTTGTAGGAGTGGCCAACTCATTGCAAATACCTAGTGCAAATTCTGCTTTGGCTAAGGACAGGATCCTGATGTCCATGAAAGGAGACAAAACCCCTACGGATGGCTTTCCAACCAGTCTCTGTATTTCAGAAATGGTCAGGAAAAGGTAGAAATGGTCTTTGAGACTGAAATTTCTCAACCCCAAACCAGAATCTGTCTGGAATTTGGACAAATTCATGCATGATGGAGCATATATTCTTTAGTTTTATTAAATGAAAGTAATCGTATAGCTACTATGTCTGACTGAGTAGAAGGACATGTGCGTGACTTAGAGACACTGCTTGATTGCAGTGAATCGATCAGAAAACACCATTATTAAATCACAACACTTGCTTCTTTTTCTTTAATATACATTAAGCAACTTAATCCACTTAAGATGCTTCTGTATACAAATGACAGAGGAGACTTGCTGTCACCTTCTCTTAGGAGACAGATGAGAAATACCAAGCTACTGGTCTGCCCTCCAACCACTAAAGACCAGGTAAAACAGAGACTGGGAATCCTGCAGCCCTGCGAAAGGGGATACTCCAGGGCTGATATTCCAAACTGGGTGAAATTACAATTCAAACATTGCTGTAACACCAGACATACCTGTCAATATTTGAACACCAATATATATGGTTCCCACATTTCTGTTTCCAGAGCAGAACTGGTATGCCAGGTATTCCACAGAGCAGACACTGCAGATGCAACACTTCTTGGAAAAATTGGTTTTACAGTGTACTACTCATGTGAAGTCAATTTGTGCAGAAGCAGCAAATCTCATAAAGGGAACTTCTGTGTGTCCAGGAGCTGAGACACAGCCACTCAGACACAGCACGTGAAACTTTTATAAACACTACCGACGCACCAGTTCTTTGTCCATGAACTAAATGGTCTTATCGGTAATAAATATTTGCAAGAAACATGCTAATGGATCATAGAGCAAGAAAAGAAAAATCATGCATCACACTGTGAAAGAAGGGTATTTTGGGAAATGTGTGGTGAAGCCCTGTCGGCCAGAATCTCACGTACGAAAGCAGATTATTTCAGTATGGATATTAAAATACCACATATAACAAGGACATAATGATGATGTTTAAACAATTTATAATGGGCACTAGCTAAACAAATTTTGACACTGATAATCACTCATGTCCATCAACACAAATTAGAACTTTTTATAGCTCCAGCACAGAAGGTGACCTTTAAGACCATTGGTCTTGATTCACAGTTAGCTTTAAACCAGGGGGAAAAAGAAAAAAGTCTGGTTGCAAATGTAGAAATACTATTCTAAGCAAGAAAGGAGGTACAGAAGCTTCCAGTGTGTGTCTCAGAATATCTGCATTGAGAATTTTAAATTGAACAGTCTCCTAACTCTTGTCTAATGCCACTCATACATGAAATTTATGGAACAAAGAGCAACACCATATACTACTCCTCTCACTAAACAACTACAAGTCCTGTTATTCCAAAAGAAAAAGTAAAACCATCCATCATATTATGTAAATATTTAAAATGACAGATGTGTACTGAGAATCACAGGTACCAATGAGATATTGTTGTTGGATAGTTTAATTATCAAGGGAATTGTGAAATCTACCAATACACCTCAGACTGGTTCGAATTTTCTCCGTTTTAAACTATTCCAAAAGCTATACTGTTCACATCCCAAATGAAAACTGTGTGGCCAGCTAGGAAAAAAACTTTACTGTGTTGATTCTGAGAATTTTAAGGCAATGCTTTCACAGAGATGTTAATACTATATCCAAAAAAACATCCATCAATCAGGTCTGTTCTCTAAAACATGTTATGTTTGCTTTCCAATGTATGCCTTCAAAACAAATTTATCAGCTCTAAAAACCAGAACATCATCTTTGTTCCTAGTGACTGGAGTCCTATGCTTTGGTTTTCAATAGATTATAGGTTACTTCCCATTTTTTGTAGGAAAATAGAACAAATACAACTCTAAAGCACTAAACACATTATAGTACATGCTCGGATAGGTGACAGAGTAGATGTATCACTGTGTGACACAGATCTCAAGGCTCTTTATATTATTTATAAAAATTACCTGTAAGTACTACATATGTTATCCCATATGGACAGTTTTCCCAATTTCCTCTCTTTCCAGATTGGTTATTCTTTCCTATAGTAAACCATTACACCTAATAGTAATTACACTTTTCCAGAATGGTAGCAGCAAACTTTTAGAGTATTTAAACTACCAGTAATTCAAATTCACACGTATTGAAGCGTTATCAGCCATGATTACATTAAATAAAACTTTCAGATTCTACTTGTTACAAAGGTAAGGCAAAAAACTTAAGGGAAACTGCACAACTCATAGGAAAAAAAAAAAATGGTTTGAAGGAACTATAATCACGGTACCACAATAATCCAAGCTTGCAGTGTCAGGGTCATAATCACAGCGCCTGAGGCTTCTCTCTGTCACACTAGTTTACATCTGCCAGACTGTCACAAGTCTGTGCTTTCAGTGTGTAATTGCATCAGCAAGTGCAATACTCATTTCTTACCCTGTGGTGACATTTTTATTTATGTATTTAAAACAGGTTCTTCAACAGTTACTCAATGCTACAAAGGTGAGGCTCTCCTGATGCCTAAAAGCAGTGCAGTGAGGGATTCAAGCACAACACGCTGCACTGCTTCCATCACAGCAGTGCAAGCAAAAGTGATCTCTCATTTTTTTCCACTTTATCAGTAAATCAGTTTATTGAGAATTTTTAAAAATATAATTTCAGACTTTTTCACCCTTTGCTAATAGCCTAATTTAGTCTTCCATCTTTAACAGTGGGATTTTTAAACTGGGAAGTTAAATACGTATCACTACAGTCTCCAACAGGTTCCCCCACTTTGCTAAAGTGCAGATGAAAAGTTAATCACAGTCTTTTGATTAACTCTTCCCTTCAGCTCTTCAACTGTCTTGGTTTTGGCTTTTACCACCGAAGTCAAGCAAACCCTGACAGTTGCTTCACGGGCACTAGACAAATGTTTAACATGTTACATGAGAAAAGGTTAAGTACAAACACAGCTAATAATCTGGGCTCTTTGGAGGTAGTGTCATATCTGAATAAATCTGACAGCACCTCATTGTAAAGGGCAAGAATTTATTATTGTCCAGGTTAAACGCTGTGCTCTTATCCTTTCTGTGGCTATAACATAAGAAAGGCTCTTTGTGTGCTGAAACAAACATTAAAGTGCCAACATACACAAAATGTATAAGGTGTCTGGGGATTATTCTTCAGCAAATAGTTTTAACTTACTTTGGCTTCAGTCTCTCCCCTGTGAAGTGTATACAAATGATGGACGGCACTTTGTGATGATGACCAAGGATGTGTCAGTATTTGAAAAACATGGAAATCATGGCCTAATGTGTCAGTAGTGACCAGCAACATCCCTGGGTAAAAAAAAAAAAAAAGAAAAAGAAAAAAGAAACACAAAAGCACAACAGATTAATCACTGCAAAAGAAGAGGCTTAAGAATCTCTATCTAAAAAAGCTAGCGTGGCTTACATTTTGTTTTCTGGAAACAAAAGAAAACAGTTGCAGAAAATTACTGAATTGAAAGGATTAGCTTCATAAAAAATGAATCAGAGCTTCAACTGAAATCATATTAACAGTATTACTGCTTAAGTATTACAATACAAATCTGTAAAAGCCAACTGAAATATCTGGGAATATTCCTACTAAAGTTGAGAACTTGCGTGACCAATATGAAGCACTGAAGTGCTGAACGTTAGACTGAGACCCCAAAATGCTCTTCACTGAGAAAGAGCCAGTCTTAAAAAAGATCAGTATTTCCACAATAATAATTTTTGCAAGAAGAGACATTATCAAAACCCAGCCAAAACAACCCATACCAAAAACAATCCTGAAGAAGCATCTTTCTTAGAAATGTACAGGAAAGAAACTGTCTGATTTATTGCTTGCAAGGCAGCAAATCAGAGTTGAGAGCTTCCAAGTGAAATATTAAATTAGTTGCTAACTTCATTGAAAACAGGTCACTGATGGATGTATTGAAATGATTAAATTAGAAGATCAGCAGAATCACAGTAACTTATATACGCTGTTTACTTGTTTCTCCCACTATATGACAGCCCATAACACAGTTTTTAAACATTTACAAACATATTTAAAGTAAATATGCCATAAAAGTTTCAGCTTTTATAACAAAAAATAAGTCTTTTTTTACATATAAGAAAAGTAAGGCATTGTGGCAGAATTTAGGACTACAGTAAACAAACTTCAGATTTATTTTTCTGTATAAAAATGTCCATATCACCATGCTTATTAATGAAATTTAAGAAGTTATCACCCAAAGTAATCCTCCAACATTGAATTAACAGCAAGTATAAAGTTATTTTAGGAGTCTAATAGCTACACTGAAGTGCCTTTAAGTAATTTTCAAGGTACCCATCTATTAAAGAAAAGCAGGAATTTCCACATAGGTCAGTTTTGCTCCAGATAAAGCATAAATGAAATCTTTTATCCTTCAGGAAGAGAACTTGGGTCTCCACATTTTTCACAACACCTATTCAAAGGATAAAGGATTATCCTATTTCTGTCGTAAAGGAGAGTTCACTTTTTCAGTTTATTTACAGATGGCTCCACAATTCACCTTTCCCTCTTCTGCTCACTGCTGCTAAACAAATACATACAGTACAAGCCTGAAAGCTCTCACGCGTTACCACTGAGGTCCAATAGCAGATGCCACTTTAAAAATTTTAGAAATGGAAAAAAAAAAAACAACTCTTGTATACTAAGCAGCAGAGAAACACTCTCGAAGTAAAGACTAAATTTAAATAACTTTTCTACGGAACTACTGTTACAACATCACTAGATTGATATCCTGAGAGTTTTCTCTCCTTGGCAGTCCTGGAATGCCCCTTCCCTTAAGTCCAATTTTAGCAGCCAAAGCCTTGCCCTTCTGGGCCCAATGTCACTCCCCAGTGCCTCTTCCTCCTTCGAGGCCGAAGCAGGTTTGTGAACTCAGGTCTCAGCTCCCAGGAGGAACAGCCCAGTCCTGAAGCCTCCGAACAGGACAACAGAGCATCACCGCAGGCTTCATGTGAGCAAAATTCTTACAAAATAAGGATCTTGTGAAGGTAAACAAGTACTTTCAAGACATGAGGCCCACCAGCAGTAAGGTACAAAAATCAGAGAGGAATACAAATTGCATTTAGAGACAAAATTGCCTACAAGTTTCCTTCTTAGCTTGACCACTGAGGCTGGTAGGGCTTGGACAGAGCGCGAGCCCACCCACACTGCACACAGCCATTTCCTCAAAATCACACAAATGCAAAATCTTACATCTGACCTCAGCAAGATTCCCTCCAGTAGACATACTTTTACTGTTACAGGCTGTTACCTCGATTCCGAGTGTTAGAAATGAAAGAGTTTGTTATGGAGCTAAGAAATCCGTGAGTGCATTTGGGTATTATGTTTGGGCGGTAAGGCATGTGAGTTGAGGTTGGTCTGGATGTTAATGTTGGCTTAACTGGCAATTTCCTTGATTTGTAGTGACTGTGTTGATAGGAAATACAGCTAAAGTTGCTCAAGTGCAAGTCAGCCAAGTCTTTAGTGTGGGATTATGCACACAATTTGCATTAATTCTCTTCTGAAACATCACAAAATACACTTCCCTTCTAGTGAAGTGTGCGGTCCTCAATAATATATAGCATTTCCAGTGGAGAAACGTGGAAGCAAATAGGGGTTTGTGTGAAGCATTAGGCTGTCACTATTAGTGGAGCAAGGATATTCCAAAAGATCCTTCAACACAGTAAGGATTTATTTTCTCTATTCCCACGATTGCCTCTCCTCACGCATTAGATAGCTTTATCTACAAATTCAGTGTGCTCTTGGTGCTTTTGAGCTCTCTCTTATTCCAGATGGAAAGGACCTTTGGAGAAGCTGGAAGAGATGAATACATAAGGTTTCTCTCAATAGTGAACAGACGGCCTCAGCAAACCTAGATTTTTTTTTTTCTTCCCCCAAAGTGCTAGAAGTCTTTTATAAATACATACACAGAGCTGAGTGCACCCGGAGATCTGAGCACAGCATTCTTCATGTGTATCCCATCACATGGCACAGTGCAATGAAGATCGTAAAAAAAACTTTAAACGAGCCAAAAATCTGTCTGGAAGCTGGAGACAGAAAGCTGCATAATAATCATGAGCCAGTGAAAACACAGGAATTACCATAGTGCGTTGTCCATCAAATCTATCGGTTGTTTAGCTAACCAGGATCTCGTTTCCAATATTGGCTAGAAACGCAGGTGTCTGCGGATGGTGCAATAAACCCCACAGTACGCAGACGTGATAGAATTTTGCCCTTCTCCTCACAAAGATTTTTTCCCAAATCTGTAATCTCTACTTAACCCGAGCAGGGCAGTGCTAGAGCGCTCACTTTGGGACCATACACCGCACCATATGTCACACAAACCCGTAAAGCATACGGCGTTACCTGCTTGTTCTCTGATGACACACACCGGCGTCCGAGCAAAGGGAGCCGTGAAATGCGCTCGCCTATCTGCAGGTCTGATCAGTTCCATATGATCTACATAGTTCTTGGTTCCATAGAAATGCGCGTTGCCTTTGGGTTTTGTGTTTTTTTGGGGGTTGGTGGGTTTTTTCTGGTTTTCCTAACTTCAAGGAGTACAGAGGTGAAAGATAATACATTCGTGGGTGGAAAGGAATTAGCTTAAAAATAGAAAGATGGGTGGTATCTGATTTGGCAATTTTGCATGCCTAATCTAAAATCCTGCTGTCTGTCACTGTTTAGAATAAATGCATTTTATTAAATGAAAGCTGAGGAAAAACAGGCCCTTCGCCTATATTAGCGACAATTTTTCAGTAAGTTGAAGGAGGACCTTTCATTCTCACATTTGCATTTGAAATACAAATATAGACTTGCAGAACTTGTATCAACACCGAGGTCCCAAGCACAATACCACAGATGTGAAAGAACATGTATTTATAAAACAGCGTTCTGAAATATCTTTCTTACTACTGTTATTCAAACAGTAAATCACTGCTGGTTTAGAACATTTGACTTGGGTTTTGGTGCGGGACTTTCCAGCTCTCGTTACTTCACACCGAAGAATCACAGTTTTCAATTATGACAGCTCAGCCATTTCGCGTCTCTCTCCGGCTCCCTGCAACAAAAGGCTGCTGCACCCCTCAGCAGAAATACCTAATCCCAGGAGAGAAACGTGAACTTGAATCTTGGTCGTTACCTCACTTTCACTTTCAAGTGCAGGAAACTTCAACTCAGCTTTCTAAAAGACCTTGTGACAGTTTTCCCAAAAAGTTGTTTAGACGGAAATATGGGTTAAAGCTGTCACAAGTTCAGTTCAAAATGTTTTCTCTTATGATGTACTTTATGTATGAATAATCATAGATGAAAAGTGAATAATTCTCAAGGATTTCCTGCTTGTTTTTCAAACTGGCATTAATCCCTGTTTAACAGATAACATCTGAAATCAATTGAAACTCTTGCATAGCAGAACCCAGTGGAAATTTATGTGTAAAACAGATTATTACTTACTATGTATCTCACTGTAAAAATCCTGATTTTGCTTATCCATAATATGAGGAGTGCAGCTACGTTAAATTAACAACTGTTTTACTGTGAGGTTTTTCAAATCCACGGAGATGATTAAAATCCAGTTTAAGAGGAAAAGATATCCTAGATGGAAAAAAATTACTGAAGCTTTGTTTTAACTGACAGACACATTTGCCCTAATTTACAGCTTCCTACTTTTCATGCATTCTGTTTGGGAAATAAGCAGCTTCTTTCAGGATAGAAACGTTAAAAAAATACAGAGAATAGATGCATAAAAGGAAAAACTAGTACAGATGTAGACTGTGGGTTAAGAGCTATTTATGCAGTATCAGAAGACTAAACCAGACTCTGGCCTGGCCATAAACTAAGCCCACGCCCTAAATGAGGTGCCAAGCCACAAAAAGCATTTGCGTCAACTGGGAATACAAGGAAAAGAAGGACTTCTAATTATAGGGCCTGGAAGCGGAAGCCCAGAGTGATTAGGAGTTTAGGCGCTGCTGTATGTTTATCTGGGAGCTTCCTCTCACTCGCTCTCAGCCTGGGTTTGATAGATGAGGGTTGGCCTAAAAGGGTGGGATTGGAGTTGCTGATGGTACACAGAGTTCTCCACAATCCGAAGGAGACGGAGACGGAATACTAAGGCTTCTGCGGCCTTGTAGGAACATAACTCTTTTCAACTAGGCGTCAGCTGGTTAGCCCAAACGGCAAAATTAGAGAGCAGCAAATCTCAGTTGGGTACTTGCTATAAAATCTAGGAAACCTGAGCAGCCTAAGCATCTCCACCACATCCTATTTATAACACCTATCTAATTGCATAGTTGTTTATTATATGCAT